CCGAGCGCAGGCCCTGGGTGCGGCAGCTGGGAGCTGCGGGGGCCGGTGGCCTCGCTCACCTGTAGCTGCAGGGCTCAGCTCCGAACAGGCAGGCCAGGATCAGCTGCTCGCCCGAGTAGCCCATCTTCACCAGCTCCTGGGTTGGCACCTGGGAGAAGATGTTGGTGGCCTGCAGGGTGTACCACTCTGTCACGGCCTGGGTGGCGCTGATGAATTTTCGGAAGGTGCACACGGTCCCGTTGCGGCAGCACTGCGGAGACGGAGGGTTCCTGTGGGTGCAGGGCTGCGGGCCGGCCCATCGCTGCCCCAAGGGCGTGGGCCGAGAGTGCCCGGCCGGCTGTCCCTGCCCGGGCTGCACCCTGGGCCCCGGGCTGCCCCTCATCCACAGCTGCTCGGCCACAAGGACTTACACAGCCTCCACCCGCATGGCGCCTTCAGCTTGAGTGAACACACACACACACACACACCCTTACATGCACACACACAGGCACACACACACACCGAGATAGGCGCCACTTTCTGACATTCCAGCCACATGATGCCATGGTCACAACTATGCACACACATATCCCTGCTACCCCGCTCACATATGTGAGTTCCTGTGCAGACAGACACTCACGCCCTCTGACTCCCTGGCTCCTTTCCCAGCCCAGCCTGGGCTCCCAGAGACAGCGCGGAGCGGGGCCCACGAAGACCCTGGGCTGCCCCTGGGCTGAGGAGGGGCTGGCCTTTCAGCCTGAGTCTGGTGAGGCCCTCTGCTCACTGCACCGGCCCCTCCCCCAAGCCCAGCTCAGCACGCAGACACGGAAGCCACTGGCCCTGGTTCACCTCTCTGCCTCTGCTCGCCTCATCCCATGGCCGCCCTCCTCCTGACGCCGACACCGGAGGGCCTTCCATGCGGGGCCAGCCCTTCAGGCCGGCTGCGCGTGGCCTCAGCGGCTGCTGGAGGCCTCCGAGCCCCCCTGGGGAGTAATCCTCCCACTCACTCAGGCCAGGCGCCGTCTCAGGCTTTACTTTATGATCCCATTCAGTTTTCACAGCAACCCCACCACCATGAAGAACCCGCAGCCCAGAGAGGTTAATAAGGTGTGACAGCAGCAGACCTCGCCTGCACTGTATGTGTGCACACATGCAACACACACACACACACACACACACACACTGGTACGGCCACCAGGGACACGCCTGCCTTGCCGATGAGGACATGGACACGGGCAGCCAGGCCACTGACCGAAAGCAGCTGGGCACTGTGTTCAAGCTGGCAGCGGGCCCTGCGAGCCTCGTGCTAGGTGCTGGTTTGTGTGGAGATGTGGG